GGCTCACTGCAACCTCCACCTCCTGGGTTCAAGCAATTCTACTGCCTCAGCCTCCTGAGTAGCTGGGATTACAGGTGTGCACCACCACGCCTAGCTGATTTTTGTATTTTTAGTAGAGACGGGATTTCACCATGTTGGTCAGGCTGGTCTCAAACTCCTGACCTTGTGATCTGCCCACCTCAGCTTCCCAAAGTGCTGGGATCACAAGTGTGAGCCACTGTGCCTGGCCCACTCCTCCCCCTTTCACCTAAACTGGCTAAAACCAGGAACTCCCAGGTTCTAAAGAATGGAAGAACCAAAAGATGGAGAGAGACTGAATTCCTTTATCACCATGTCAAGAAAAGCTGCCCACTGGCCAGGTATATCCATAATGAATTGTTATGAAAGTGATAAATTTCTATTATGTTAAGCTAGTAATAAGGTAGGAAGCAGGACTCAACTCCAGAGGAGGGACTCGGACACTGGACCAAATTGAGGACTAGCTAAAACAAGGACAGGGTGGAAGCAGCCTTCCATAAGACATGCCCCACCAGTGTGCCACGTCAGTCTACCATTGCCCTGCCAACATTGGGGAGTGACTGCCCCTTTCTATGGCAATGACCTGATGACCCAAAAGTTACTAACCCTTCCCTAGAAATGTCTACATAAACCACCTGTTAATCTGCATATTATTAAAAGTAGGTATAAGTATGATTGCAAAACTACCCTGAGCTCTGCTCTCTGCCTCTGAGGTAGTCCTGCTCTGTGGGAGCAGTCACAGAGCTGTAACACTGCCAGGGCTGTAACACTGCCTCTTCAATAAAGCTGTTTTCTTCTACCTCTGGCTTGCCCTTGAAATCTTTCCTGGGCAAAGCCAAGAGCCCTTGTGGGCTAAATCCCCCTTTGGGGCTTGCCTGTCCCGAATCAGTAATACTCAACTGGGGGTGATTTGTCCTTCCAGGGAACAGGGTACAATATCTAAAGACATTTTCAGTTGACGTAGCATGGGGTGGAAAGAGTGTTACTGGGATCTAGTTGGTGAAAGCCAAAGATCCTACCAGACATTCTGCATGGCACAGAACAACTCCTCACAACAAAAAATTATATAGCCCAATATGTCAATGGCGCTGAGGGTGAGAAATCCACACTCAACTAATATAGGATGATGCCAGGCTACTATGCCAATATGGGGCTAGCTCTTCCTCTGAGGGTGTCTGACCACAAAGGATATATGGGGTAGAATGTTGTGAGAAAAAAATAATTAGGAAAGAGGTGAAGACAAAAGGTCTTCTATTCCTATGTCAACTCACAAAACATGAGGAATAAACAACCTTCTGCGGTGACTCACATCAGTCTAAGGTACAGGGAATTGGGCAGTACTGTGGAGGATTGGGATGAAAAGTCTTTGTGTTATGAATGTTGGTTAATTTGAAGGCCTCGAAGGACACAAGAATGATCCATGATTGGAAGGTAAGGGGAAATAGTTTTTCTGCTGGTATCATGGAAAATGTCACTAACCAAGCAGTGAGCTTCTTTTAGTGGCAGTGAGCGCCCCACTTCCAGAAATATTTCAGCATGAACTAGGTGAGCACTTTTCACAGATTACATGGCTGGGACTAATACTTTGCATATGGAGTTGGGTTAGGTGCATGGTTTTCAAAACGTTTTGGCCCAAGAAGCCTTCCTTCAGGTGAAGTGAAACCTGAATAGGTAAGACAATTAAAAGAGGGTTTAATTTGCCAGAAAAGAAGATGGGCATCCATGGCCTTGCCTGCCTAGCTTTTCTCTTGGCCTTGATGGGGATCTTTAGTGGGTTCCTAGGCCCCTGGAGCTATGTTAATTTATTTGTAAGATCCCTTTCAACTTTACTTCTCTATTCTGCTTCTAACAATATCAGAAGCTAGCAAATATCAGCAAATAATAAGAAATATGATATTTTAATAAAAAGAAGCATGCATTTTCCCTGGTGGGATTGAAGAATATAAAATGCACTCTGTAGTATGGTAGGTACTCCAACAATGACCTCCATCAATTCTTCTGATTTCTCTGTGCACGTAGCGCTCCTTCGGTGAGATGGGGGAGTTTATTCTCCTTCCTTGGGATCTCTGTGGGCCCTGTGACTATGACCAATACCATGTGGTAGAAGTCATGGAACTTCCCAAGCCCAGACCATAAAATGAATGGCCATTTCTGTTTTCTTCCCCTTGAAACTGTGTTTCTTGGAAACCAACTGCCATGCTATAAGGAAGCCAAGCAGCCATGAGGAAAGGCCCATGAGGAAATCTTAGGGTCCCAGCTGAGGTCCCAGCCAAAGACCAGCACCAACTACCAGCCATGTGTAAGCAAGGCCATTTTGGATACATGGTATACCAGCTTTCCTAGTGCCCCATCTGACCTACATGAAACAAAAGAATCATGTGTTCAACATATAGAATCATGAAAAAGAACAAATGGTCATTGTTATAAGTTAGTACATTTCAGAATAGTTTGGTATCTGTTGAGAAATCCTCAGCATGGCTGGGAGAATTACCTGTACATCCAAAAGCCTGTGGATCTTTAAGGGTCTGAGAAGCAGGCAAAAAATATCCGGGCAGGCAGGAGCAATTGTATCCTCCTGGGATGTTGGTGCAGACAGAATTGGGACCACAAAGATTTGAGTTCCTGGAACATTCATCCACATCTAAGCAGAAAACCAGTCTAAGTCAAAAGAATGAAGGAGACTGAGGCTACAAGAGTTCAGAGCCTCATCACTGACTGAAAGCAATGTATTTCCCTGACTGTGCTCTCACCTTCATAAACACATTTTCATCACTCAAAGAACAACCATTTAGAGGCATATCCACGGTGCATGAAAATTTTCTGATAAGGCTTCCCACTGCTCAGGATAAAATCCAAAATCCTCATTAGATATTAAGGCCCTGACAACCTAGTTCCAACTGAGCTGACCTACCTCTACCTCATCTCTTGCTTTGAATTCCTTTGTGATTTATGATCCAGATGCATAGTTTACCTTTTTCTTTTTTAACAGACAGCATCTCATTCTGTTGCCCAGACTGCAGTTCCATGGCACCATCATAGCTCACTGCAGCCTCAAATTCCTGAGTTCAAGTGATCCTCTCACTGAGTAGCTGGGACTACAGCCATGTGCCACCATGCCCAGCTACTTTTTCTTATATAGAGACAGGGTGTCACTATGTTGCCCAGGCTGGTCTCGAACACCCAGCCTCAAGTGATCCTCCTGCCTCAGCCTTCCAAGTAGTGGGAGCTAAAGATGCGTGCCCCATGCCTAGCTAGTTTGTTTTTGTACAGACAGGGTCTCAATATGCTGCCCAGGTTGGTCTCAAACTCCTTGCCTCAATACATTTTCCTTCTTCAGCTTCCTAGAGTGTAAACGCATAGATACCCTTTATTCCACAAAGGCTCATTGTCTCTCTTCTCTGTTCCCTCAGCCTTGAACTTGCACACACACTTCTTTCTATGATAAATCTCAATTCCTCTCCTAGGCATCACATATTATTAGTAACAAAAACAGAGGCACATGGCCAGGCGTGGTGGCTTACACCTGTAATCCCAGCACTTTGGGAGGCTGAGGCAGGTGGATCACCTGAGGTCAGGAGTTTGAGACCAGCCTGGCCAATATGGTGAAACCTCATCTCTACTAAAAATACACAAATTAGCTGGGCATGGCGGCACATGTCTGTAATCCCAGCTACTCTGGAGGCTGAGGCAGGAGAATCACTTGAACCCGGGAGGCAGAGGTTGGAGTAAGCTGAGATTGGGCCACTGCACTCCAGCCTGGGCAACAGAACAAGACTCCATCTCAAAACCAAAAATCAGGCTGAGTACAGTGGCTCATACCTGTAATCCCAACATTTTGGGAGGCCGAGGCAGGTGGCTCATTTGAGGTCAGGAGCTTGACACCAGCCTTGCCAACATGGTGAACCCCCATCTGTACTAAAAATGCAAAAATTAGCTGAGTGTGGTAGCACGTGCCTGTAATCCCAGCTACTTGGGAAGGTGAGGCAGGAGAATTCCTTGAACCCAGGAGGAGGAGGTCGCAGTGAACCAAGATGGCAACACTGCACTCCAGCCTGGGCAACAGAGCAAGACCCCATCTCAAACAAACAAACAAACAAACAAACAGAACAAAAACAAACAAACAAAACAGAGGCACAGACTAAAGGGATTGAGAACATGGACATTCTGGGTTCATAGCCTGGCTCTGCCATTTACAGGCTGTTTGTCCGTGGGTGCTATGGACTGAATGGTGCCCCTCCTCCAAATTCCTATGTGGAAGCCCTAAGCCCCAATGGGATGTTATATCGAGATGTTATTTATTGCTGTATCCCCAGTGCCTAGAATAATGCCTCATATATTTAGGTGCTCAGGAGGTATTTCTTTAATGAGTGAATGAGTGAATGAATAATTATTGACTTCAGATTTGCAGATGAAAGTCTCAAACTCAACCAAGACCCACCCCAATCCCCTCACTACTGTCTTTGTAAATAGACTGGCACTTAAATTCCCAGAAGACACCCCCAACTACCTTCACACAATTCTCTGAGACCCTGAAAACTCAAGAGGCCACTGCTGGATTCAAATCCTGGGTTGCAGAGACAAGTGTAGGCTCCAACAGTGTTATGGCAAGTTGCATGCTCCGGGCAAGCTCTTGGATTGAGACATTCATCCACATCTGATGAGAGGAAGAGAATACCCAGGTTAAGGTAAATGAGAAAACAAGGACTGGAGACTGCAAACAGCAGATTCATTCGGTGTGTTAATTTGCAGCAGACAGGGCTGATGCTCCCCAATATCCATGTTCCCCCCTTCTTCGCAGGCACACAGTGGGACATATTTTCCAGTCCCTTCTTACAGTAGGCATGACCATGAGAATAAATTCTAGCCAATGGCATGTAAGCAGAAGGGTGGCAAATAGTTTCAAAACATAATTATCAGAGATTGCAAAAGTAGCCATAGTCCTTTACTCCTCTCTGTATCTACACCCCAAGATGTAGACTGCATACCAGGTGACTTTACCACACCTTGCACTAAGAGGTGGAGTCTGTTTCTCTACCCCTTAAATACATCTGGCCCTATGACTTGCATTGACCAATAGAAGACAGTGAAGTAGTGAGGCACTAATTCCAAACCTGTGCCTCCAGAGACCCGTTGGCTTCTGTTCATTCGCTTGGGCCTCTGATCTTTGCCATATGAACAAGCCCCTGACTAGCCTAATGAAGAATAAAAGACCAAGTGGAAGGGAAATGAATCATCCCAGATGAGCCCCAGACATGTGAAACCCATTCCCTCCTCCTCGTAATAATATAACAATATAATAATATAACCATCCAGTTGAGAATTGCATTCCCAGCTTCTCTTGCAGCTATGTGTGGCCACATGGTGAAAATCTGGCCAAGGAGAATAAATAGAACTGATGTGTGTACCCTCTGATCACGCCCTTGAAAAGAAAGAGCATACTCTACACTTACTCTCTCTTTTCACCTGGGCTGGAAGATGGACAGAGTGGGGTGATCCATGCCCAACTATGGGGATTGGAGAGGCAACAAGAGAAAGCCCACCCAAGATCAGCTGACCACAGACACAAGAACAAGACCCACTGGGACCAAAAGATCTGGCTAGAATAGACCACTTAAATTGTCAACTCATGGAATCAAGAGCTAAATAAATGGTGGTTGTTTCTAGACACTAACTTTTAGGGTGATTTTTTATCCAATGATGGCTAACTGCTACAAACAGAGCAGCAAAGGCAGAGATGACTTCCAACATCTCTTCAGCTAAGCCAGGGGGATGTAACGAGGGCTTGATCACACCTTGCCTTTCTCAATGGAGTCACCATCCCTGTAAATGAATGTGGAGAATAACAATGCACTTGACACAGGAGGATGGAGCCCTTGTTTCTTGGTGAGAACATTCTGGCTGCAGTGTAGACGATGGATTGGAGGAAATAAGACTGGAAAAGTTGAGGCTAGAGAGGAGGCTTTTGCAGTGATGATGAAGCCTCACCCAAGGATGGAAAAGAGCAGAGGAATTCAACACATATGTATTTATGTATTTATTTTTGAGACCAGGTCTTGCTCTGTCATCCAGGCTGGAGTGCAGTGATGTAAGCACAGTGCACTGCAGCCTCAACCTCCTGGTGTCAAGCAATCTTCCCACCTCAGCTTCTTCAGTAGCTGGGACCACAGGCACATGCCACCACGCCCAAATAATTTTCTAACTTTTTTTTTTTTTGGTAAAGACAGGGTCTCACTGGGTTGCCCAGGCTGGTCTCAAACTCCTGGTCTTACGCACTTCTGTCCCAGCCTCCCAAAGTGCTGGGATTACAGGCGTCAGCTGCCACACCCAGTCTCAAAACATATTTAGTAGGTAGATTCCCCAAGGCGTGATGACTGCTTTAATATGGAGGGAGAGAAAAGCTTAAAGATAACTTTCAAGCCTTAATTCAAATTACTTTTAGGGGAAAGTTCTGAGGTCTGGACTTTAGATCTCCCCGGAATAGGGTTTTTCCACCTCAGCACTATTGTCATTTAGGGCCAGATTATTCTTGGTTGTGGGGATGTTTCGTACGTTATAGGATGTTTAGTAGCATCTCTGATCACTTCCCATTAGATGCCTGTAGCACACACAGCACCTCTCCCCACCATCACCAGTTGTGACAATCAAAAATATCTCCAGATGTTGCCTATGCTCCCTGGGGGAAATATCAGTTTGAAGACAAGTGCACCCCATTATATTCTGATACCACTGTTTGACTTATAGTAGGACCTCAACAGGAGTTCAAATCCCAGCTCTTCCATTTAATATTTGCATATAGACCACAGATCCTATAAAGCAATTACACAATTGAGATTACAAAGCAACTAGCTAGCAACACTGTGACAGGAATTAAGCCTTCACATGTCAATATTAACCTTGAACAGAAATGGCCTACATGCTCCACTTAAAAGATATAGATTGTTAAACTGAATTAAAACAAAAAAGGAACCCAACCATGTGCTGCCTACAAGAGACCTACTTAACATGTAAAGACATCCCCAGGCTCAAAGTAAAGAGATAGAAAAAGATATAAGCAACTATATATTTTTACCTCTGTGAAGCCCCAATTTCTCATTCCTAACATGAGAAAATCCCTTCATCGTATGGTCTTCCAGTGAGATGACCCTTAATTAATTAAGTAGGTAAATAATAAAGAGATGGTCATTTATACCTTCACAGGTGGAGTTTCTAGAGATGAATCCGATTTGACAGCTGCAAAAGTAGCTTCCCATAAAGTTGACACAGTCAGAATGCTCAGGGCAGATCCCGCTGGTGAGGCACTCATTGATGTCTGAGAAGCAGTGGAAGAGGGTGAGTAGATAATAAATTGGGTGCCTAAGTTCAGAAATACATGAGCTCAAGCCAGGTGTGGTGGCTCACACCTGTAATCTCAGCACTTTGTGAGGCTGAGGAGGGTGGATTATGAGGTCAGGGGTTCGAGACCAGCCTGACCAACACGGTGAAACCCTGTCTCTACTTAAAAATACAAAAATTAGCTGGGTGTGGTGGCATGCTCCTGTAATCCTAGCTACTTGGGAGGCTGAGGCAGGAGAATTGCTTGACCTGGGAGGTGGAGGTTGCAGTAAGCTGAGAGCACACCATTGCACTCCAGCCTGGGTGACAGAGTGAGACTCTATCTCAAAAAAAAAAAAAGAAAGAAAGAAAGAAAGAAAGAAAAAGAAATACATGAACTCACCTTACTGATAGATACCCACCCAAGACCCATCTCTGGGAGCCTGAGAGCATTACCAGTACAGGAGAAATTGCCTGGCTTTCCTGAGATCCAGCCATTTGCAGTGGGAGAAGAGAAACCATGTAAACAGGCACAGTTGTATCTCCCCAACAGGTTTTTGCAGACTGAGTTAGGACCACAGGGCTGGGGGCTTTGAGAACATTCATCAATATCTGGACAGGGAGTTGGAGTTACAAATTTGCTTATCCTAGATAGAAAACTGTATTTTGCAACAAAAAAAAAATCTTAAAACAATATCTCCCATCCCATATGCTCTTCATTCAATGTGACTTTGGCACTTCTTCCATTAAGCAATGGAATGTATGTCCCCCTCTTGAATCTGAGCATGGTTGTGACTATGGTGGAAGTGACGCTAGGTCATAAAAATATTATGTACTTCTACCTCGTTCTCCCTTGGAATCCAGCCACCATATTGTGAGGAAACTCAACCATTCATGAAATTTTACAGTGACCAGGAATTATTTACATGGTCAGAGAGAGCGAGGGTGGGGAGAGAAGAAAAGAAAAGAAGAGGCGAGGGGAGGAGAGGGGAGGGGGAATGGGAAAGGGAAGGGGAATGGAGAGAGGGAAGGGAAGGGAATGGAAGGGAGAGAAGGGAGAGAGGGAAGGGAAGAGAAGGGAAGGGGAGAGGGAGGGAGAAAGGGATGGAGGAAGGAAGGAAAGGAAGGAAGGAAGGAAGGAAAAAAGGAAGGAAGGAAGGAAAGAAGGAGGGAAACAAACCATGTTGGGCTGAGGGGAAGTACCTATATTCAATACCCAGCCAGCTTTTACTTGATTTTCCCACCAAATGCTGGAGGGTTTGAGGGGGCATGAACTCACCTTTGCATTCCACTCCTGGACCCTTGAAGCGTCTTTGTCCATTGCTGGACAGGAAGCCTCGTTTGCAAGTACAGTAGTAACTGTCCATGTTGCTGGTGCAGGTGGCATAAGCTGGGCACATGGTAGTCTCTCTACATTTATTTGCATCTAGGCAGTGTATAACAAAAAGTTTAGACAAGATTAGAGCATTAGAGTGAGACTGCAAGGGAACCCAGCATACAAGGGTGGAGGCTGGCATACAATGGGCTGGATTGTGCTCCCCCCAAAAGATATGTTGAAGTCCTAAACCCTGGTACTTGTGAATTTAATTTATTTGGAAGCTGTGTCTTTGTAGATATAATTAAGATATAAGTTAAGATGAATCAGTGCTGGAGTAGGGTGGGCCACAGGTGTCCTTATAAGAATAGAAGAGACACAGGCATGCACAGGGACAATGACATCCAACAATGGAAACCGGAATCAGAGAGATGTGTCTAGAAGCCAAGGAACACCAAGGATTGCCAGCAATAACAAAACCCTTTTTTTTAAAAAAAGGCAAGGAACAGATTCTGCCCAATAGCCTTTGGCAAAAAACTGGCCCTGCCAATACTTTGATTTCACACTTTTAGATGCCAGAACTTCAAGAGAATAAATTTCTGTTGTTTTAAGCAGCCCTAGGAAACTGACACAGCAGACAATCATATTTAATCATGTACCTTGAAGACCCTAGACCCTTGCTATTCAGAGTAGGGTCTATGGTCAGCCACATGAGCATTGCTTGGGAGTTACATGGACATGCAAAATCCACTGAATCCGAATCTGCATTTGAACAAGATCCCAGGTGATGCGTGTGCACAGGGAAGTTTGAGAAGCACTGCTCTGGATCCTTGCTACCCAAAGTGTGGTCCACAGACCAGTATCATCTGCCTCCCTTTGGATTCCAAGAACATCTTGGAAAATCAGATGCTGATTCAGCAGGTCTGGGGAAGGGAGCCTGGGATTTTGTATTTCTAACAAGTCCCTGGAGGATGCTCATTCCATTGGTCCATGGATCACACCATGAACATCCAAGCACTAGACAGAAAAGTGAGAGAGTCAAAAGTGCAAGTTTTGGGACAAGGCAGACTTGAGTTCAAGTTCCAGCAGCAAACCTCAAAGCCAAGAATGGTAGCTGCCCCTCCAGACCCATTCCACCCTCCTCTTTGTAATAATATAACCATCCAGTTGAGGACTGCATTCCCAGCTTCTCTTGCAGCTAGGAGTGGCCACAGGGCGAAAATCTGGCCAAAGAGAATGAATAGAAGTGATGTGTGCACCATCTGGTCATGCCCTTGAAAAGAAAGGGCATACTCTACACTTCCTCTCGTTTTTCACCTGGGCTGGAAGATGGACAGAGGAGGGTGATCCATTCCCAACCACTGGGATGAGGGTCACACCTAAGGCTGGAGAGACAACAAGACAAAAGGAACTTGGGAGATGGGATGACCTCCTAGGCAGAGTTGTCCCACCACCCTGTTCCATCTTCAAGGTGGAGATTTATTAGAGAAAAATAAACATCGAAATTTTTTCATTCATAGTTATTTTATTTGTATGGGAACAATCATGACTCTATCCTAGCCAATCCAGTCCTGGGACCTCTCTGTACCTCAGCTTACATCCGGTAAGCCTCCAAGCCCTGTTGATCCCCTGCCCCAAATATCATTTGACAACTGCCCATTTCACTCCACCACCTTGGCTATGCCTGACCCAGATCCTCCTCTGAATTCAACATTTCTACATACTCCATTGTCCTCCACAATCGTCTACTCCACACCATGGTCATCTCTGAATGCACCTTTGATCTCCCACCTCCACCCCTTGCCTATAATGCTTCTTGTTCTCTTTAGAAATAAAACTCAAAGTACTCAGCATGAGCTGCAAAATCCCCAGTAACCAAGCCCAATCACATCATTCAGCCTCATCATGCCAGTTTCTCTTTGTTCTCCATTTCTAGCCTTCCTACCACAGGACTTTTGCACATGCTGTTCCCTCTGCCTCTGCTTTGCCTGGCCAGCTTTCACTCATTCTTCAGGTCTTGCTGTAACATCACTTCATCCAAGAAGCCTTCTCTGACTCCTCTATAGCTCTTGAGCTCCTCTTTTATGGAATTTATCAAAATGGTGACTGCCTGACTGTTTCAGTGATTCCCTCCTTCATGGCCACCTTCACCACCACACTGTGAGCTTCAAAAGGACAAGACCACAGGTGGGGGCAGGCTCCCAGGTGCTAGGGAAGAGGCTCACTTGATGCTATCATTCTTGAGGCAAGCAGAATAAGACCCTTCCAAGATGACCACATTCTAATCCTGAAACCTGTGAATATGTTATGTTCCATGGCAAAAGAGGAATGAAGGTTGCAGGTAGAATTAAGTTTGCTGATCAGCTGATCTCAAGATGGGGAGATTATCCTGGATCATCCAGGGGCAACCAATGTAGCCATAAGAGTCTTTTTAAGTGAAAGTTGAAGCCAAGAAAGGCATTGTCAGAGTGATGTGATGTGAGAAAGATCTGACCAGCCATCACTGGCTTTGAAGATGGGGAAAGGGGACATGAGCCAAGGAATGTGGTTGGCCTTAGATACAGGAAAAGGTAAGAAAATAGGTTCTCTCGGCTGGGAGTGGTGGCTCATGCCTGTAATCCCAACACTCTGGGAGGCTGAGGCGGGCAGATCACGAGGTCAGGAGATCAAGACCAGCCTGACTAACATGATGAAAACCCGTCTCTACTAAAAATACAAAAAAATTAGCCAGGCGTGGTGGTGGGTGCCTGTAGTCCCAGCTGCTCAGGAGGCTGAGGCAGGAGAATCGCTTGAACTGGGAGGTGGAAGTTGCAGTGAACCGAGATCACACCACTGTACTCCAGCCTGGGTGACAGAGTAAGACTCCATCTCAAGAATAAAAGAAGAAAGAAAGACAGATAGAAAGAGAGAGAGAGAGAGAAAGAAAGAGAAAATAGGTTTTCTTATACAGAATCCAGAAGGAACACAGCCCTGCCAAAGCCTCTATTTTAGCCCAGTGGGACCCATTTCAGACATCTGACCTCCGGAATGACAGATAAGTTTTTGTTGTTTTATGCCACCAAGTTTGTGGCAATTTGTTACAGCAGCCATAGAAAATGAACACAATTCCCTATACCCATATGTGAAAAGAACATGACTCAGAGTGATTTAGCAACTTACCCAAAGACACACAGCTAGACAGCAGCAGAGCCAGACCTTTCAAAATCCAAAGTACATTCAAGAGATAGAATCAATCTAAGTGTCCATCAGTGGATGAATGGTTAAGGAAGACGTGATATATGTACTCAATGGAATATCACTCAACTATAAGAAATAATGAAATCGTATCATTTGCAGAAACATAGATGGAACTGGAGGACATTACATAAAACGAAATAAGCCAGGCAAAGAAAAATAGATATTGCATGTTCTCATTCCTATGTGGGAGCTAAAATAATAATAATGATGGTCTAATGGAGGTAGAGAGCAGGATGATAATTACCAGAGGCGGGGAAGGGTAGTGGGGAAGGGAAATAAAGAGGATTGGTTAGTTAGTACAAAAACACAGTTAGGGCCAGGCACGGTGGTTCACGTCTGTAATCCCAGAACTTTGGAAGGCGAAGGCAGGTGGATCACCTGAGGTCAGGAGTTCAAGACCAGCCTGACCAACATGGAGAAATCCCCTGTCTCTGCTGAAAATACAAAGTTAACTAGGCGTGGTGGCACATGCCTGTAATCCCAGCTACTTGGGAGTGTGAGGCAGGAGAATCGCTTGAACCCGGGAGGTGTAGGTTGTGGTGAGCCAAGATCATGCCAATGGCACTCCAGCCTGGGCAACAAGAGCAAAACTCCGTCTCAAGAAAAAACAGAAACAAAAACACAGTTAGATGGAAGGAATAACATCTAGTGCTCAGTAGCACAATAGGACAACGACATATGAATCAGGACATATTTGTCTTTCTGTGCCTGGCTTATTTTACTTAATATAATGACCTCCAGTTTCATCCATGTTGCCGCAAATTACAGAATTTCATTCTTTTTATGGCCAAATAGCATCCCACTGTGTATGCAGACCACACTGTGTTCAACCTTTCATCTGTCAATGGACACTTAAGTTGATCCCTTGTCTTTATTATTATTATTGTTATTATTGAGACGGAGTCTTGTTCTGTCACCCAGGCTGGAGTACAGTGGTGTGATCTTGGCTCATTGCAACCTCCGCCTCCTGGGTTCAAGTGATTCTCCTGCCTCAGCCTCCCAAGCAGTTGGGATTACAGGTGCACACCACCACACCAGGCTAATTTTTGTATTTTTAGTAGAGACGGGGTTTCATCATGTTGGCCAGGCTGGTTTCAAACTCCTGACCTCTGATGATCTGCCCGCCTCAGGCTCCCAAAGTGCTGGGATTACAGGTGTGAGCTACCGCGCCTGGCCTGATTCCACATCTTGACTATTGTGAATAGTGGACTTGGGCTTTGTATCAAAGAAAGATGGGAGTCATGGGAGGATCTAGAGCAGATTAGGGACATGGCGCAAGGTTTTAACATAAGCCTTCTGGCCACTGGTTGGAAGATGAACTATAGAAGATCAGAAGCAAATTGATCAAGGAGGGGGTGACTGCACTTGTCCAGGTAAATGATGTCAGTAACCCAGAGGGGAGCAATGGAGGGAATGCAAATTGGGATTTTTTTTTAAGCAACGCTAACAAAATTTGCCAATGATTGGATGTGAGGAATGAAAAGAGAGGAACCAACCATAATGCCAACACCAATTGGTAGTATGAAAAAATGAAAAAGTGTCATAAAAACAGAAGGAATGGCTGGGTGCGGTGGCTCACGCCTGTAATCCCAGCACTTTGGGAGGCCAAGCCGGGTGGATCACCTGAGGTCAGGAGTTCGAGACCGGTCTGGCAAACATGGTGAAACCCCATCTCTACTAAAAAATATACAAATTAGCTGGATGTGATGGTGCGCACCTGTAATCCCAGCTACTCGGGAGGCTATGCCAGGAGAATCGCTGAACCCCAGGAGGTGGAGGTTGCAGTGAGCTGGCATCAAGCCACTGCATTCTAGCCTGGGTGACAGAGTGAGATGCCATCTCAAAAAATATGTATACACAAAAATTAGCTGGGCATGGTGGTGTGCACCTGTAATCTCAGCTACTGGAGAGGCTGAGGCAGGAGAATTGCTGAAATCCAGGAGGTGGAGGTTGCAATGAGCAGAGATCAAGTCTAGCATGGGTGACGGAGTGAGATTTCATCTCAAAAAATAAATAAATAAATAAATAAATAAGGAATAGATTATTGTAATTGTGACATTATTCACCCTGTTTTTGTCACATGCTCAGTTTTGAGATCCAAGTTCTTTGCTTCTATAATGCTCCCTGTTTATTTCTCTTCCCTGCATGAGGCCTCTGATGGTAACTCTCTTCCCATTTCCAGCTTCCTCTTTCATCTGCAGAGGCAACATTTGTCTGCAGGTTTCTAGCATTTTATCACTTGTGGTCCCTTAATGCGGTGAGCTTCCCATCATCCTCTTCCTCTAGCCCACTCCCTCAGAGCTCAAACCCACCCAAGCCCAGGATAACAGCCCAGCCTTGTGGGACGAGGACAGAGCGAGACTCCATCTCAAAACAAACAGACAAACAAAAAACCACCCAGGAAGTGGGTACCACCCTCCGTCCATGGTACACATGAGGAAACCGAGTCTCAGAGAAGCTGTTGGGTCATTTGGACAGAAAACAGGAGAGTTGGGGCCCAGGTCCAGGGTCATAGCCCCCAAAATGTGGTCTCTTCACAGCTTTAATGACCAAATGCTCTCTGGGCCTTGGTTTTCTCATCTGTAAAGTGGGTTTAATTGCAGAATCCAGCCAGGAAGCCTGTGATGATGGAGGCATCAGAGCAGGGGAACTCCCATTGATAAAACCATCAGTTCTCGTGAGACTTACTCACTACCTTGAGAACAGTAGAGGAAAACCACCCCCTATGAATCAGTTATTTCCACCTTGGCCCCACCCTTGACACGTAGGGATTTTTACAATTCGAAGGTGAGATCTGGGTGGGGACACAGCCAAACTCAACAGCTAAGAACTGACAATGTCTTTCTTCCTTTATCCAGCAAGAGCTTATGTAGATGAGAGTATTTAACAAAACATAAAGTCACTTATGTTTTTCCTTTTTTTTCTTTGAGACAGAGTTTTCTCTCTTATTGCCCAGGCTGGAGTGCAATGGTGTGATCTCAGTTCAATGCCACTCCACCTTCTGGGTTCAAGTGATTCTCCTGCCTCAGCCTCCCACGTAGCTGGGATTACAGGCGTGCACCCCCACACCTGGCTAATTTTTCTGTTATTAGTAGAGACAGGGTTTCACCATGTTGGCTAGGCTGGTCTTGAACTCCTGACCTCAGGTGATCTGCCTGCCTCAGCCATCCAAAGTGCTGGGATTACAGGCGTGAGCCACTGCACCCGGCTGTCACTTATGTCTCTTCACACTGAGTTGTAGTTTGAGTAAATTCCATCCCTACTCTTAATACACTACCATTGATAAAGCTCATGCTACATACCAGGTGGTTTCCAAAGCTACCTTTTTGAACTTAGGTTACAGAACATCCCTATTGTTGTCTGTATTTCACAGCTTGGGACACTGAAGTTCAGAGAGGTTATGTGATTTGCCTGAGATCACACAGCAATTCTAAGCACAAAGGAAAGAGCCTGGAGTGAGAATCAGGAGACCTGCATGTTAACCCTTGCTCTGCCAGTTACTAGCTCCCAGCAAGCCTCTGGATGAGGCTTAATTTCCCAGGATTTTTCCTGGGGAGAAAGCATTCTCCACTGTATCAGGCATCTGCATTCTCTCTGGCCAACTTACTTTTTATTGTTGATTTCAGTGTGGGTCCTGTGTGCATTTCCCAGATGTCCATAACACAACACCCTGTGAAGAGAAAAAAGAAAAACACCGTGAACCACCAAAAAAACAAAACCCTTTTGGGCTCAACCTGCAACATTGCTTCTGGCTTGGCCTCACAGAAACAGGTTTGAGGAGGCTAGGTGACAAACTCAGTTAAGGAACAAACATACACTATTTTGCATGAGCATATGAGTGACCATTCCTGATTTTTGACACTTAGGGTTTTTTTTCATTTTGTCTGTCTTCTTCCTCTTCTTTCTTCCTTCTTCCTTCCTTCTCCTTCTTCTTTTTGATTAAATAGTTCTAGGCTAAGCACTGTGGTGCACACCTGTAATCCCAGCACTTCAAGAGGTCAAGGTGGGTAGATTGCTTGAGCCCAGGAGTTTAACACCAGCGTGGGCAATATGGCAAAACCCCATCTCTACAAAAAATGCAAAAACGAGTTGGGCATGGTGGCACATGCCTGTAGCCCCAGCTACTCAGGAGGCTGAGTTGGGAGGATCACTTGAGATCAGCAGTTTTAGACCAGCCTGGGCAACACAGTATTCGTCAAAAAAAATTTTTTTTAATTAGCCGGGTGGTAGTGACACCTTATAGTCCCAGCTACTCAGGTGGCTGAGGTGGGAGGATTGCTTGAGCCCATGAGTTTGAGACTTCAGTGAGCCAAGACAGAGATTGTGCCAATGCACTCCAACCTAGGTGACCCTGTCTCTAAAAAAAAAAAAATGTTCTGCCTAGGCGTGGTGGCTCACAGTTGTAATCCCAGCACTTTGGAAGGCCAAGGTGGGCAGACCACAAGGTCAGGAGTTCAAGACCAGCCTGGCCAACATGGTGAAACCCTGTCTCTATTAAAAATACATCGGGTGCGGTGGCTCACGCCTGTAATCCCAGCACTTTGGGAGGCCAAGGCAGGCAGATCACGAGGTCAGGAGATCGAGATCATCCTGACCAACATGGTAAAACCTTGTCTCTACTAAAAAGATACAAAAATTACCTGGGTGTGGTGGCACACTCCTATAGTCCCAGCTACTCGGGAGGCTGAGGCAGGAGAATTGCTTGAACCTGGGAGGCGGAGGTTGCAGTGAGCCGAGATTGCGCCACTGCACTCCAGCCCAGTGACAGAGAGAGACTCTGTCTCCAAAATAATAATAAGTTTCTTAGCCTCCAATAAATAAATAAATAAATAAAAATACAAAAATTAGCTGGGTGTGGTGATACATGCCTGTAATCCCAGCTACCCAGGAGGCTGAGGCAGGAGAATTGCTTGAATCAGGATCCAGGAGTCAGAGATTGCAGTGAGTTGAGGTCACACCACTGCACTCTAGCCTGGGCTACAGAGTGAGACTCCATCTTAAAAAAAAAAAGAAAAATTTCGGTTGATTTTCAAAAACATACATTAAAGCATGCCTTCTCAAAAGGGGTGATACCTCCCTAAAAAGACCCAAACTTTGTTCGTGGTTCTCAAGAAAGAAATTATTATTATTTTTTTGAGACAGAGTCTCGCTCTGTCACCCAGGCTGGAGTGCAACGGCGCGATCTTGGCTCACTGCAACCTCTGCCTCCTAGGTTCAAGCAATTCTCCTGCCTCAGCCTCCTGAGTAGCTGGGACTACAGGTGTGCACCACCACGCCCAGCTAATGTTTGTATTTTTAGTAGAGACGGGGTTTCATCATGTTGTTCAGGATGGTTTCGAACTCCTAACCTTGTGATCCACCTGCCTCGGCCTCCCAAAGTGCTGGGATTACAGGTGTGAGCCATCATGCCTGGCCAGGAAGAGATTTTTTAAAACTTACTCTTTTATGTATAAGATACACATGGATATGCAGAAAATACATATATAGATATACAGTATTAAAATTTCATGAGAGGGTAGGGCAATTCATTGTTTAACGTTTAAAGGCAATGCAACCCTGCAGCATTTAGGTCTCCTGCACCATCATCATCATTGCCATCCTTATCACCATCATCATCGCCATCATCATCTCCATCACCACCATCATCGCCATCACCATCACCATTACCACCATCATCACCATCATCGCCATCATCACCATCATCATATCCATCACCACCATCATCGCCATCACCATCACCATTACCACCATCATCACCATTATCGCCATGATCACCACCATCATCATCACGATAAACACCATCACCACCACCTTCATCATCATCACCACCAGCACCATTATCATTACCACCACCAGCAGCAGCACCATAATCACCATCATCACCATCTTCATCATCATCACCACCACCATCACCATTATCACTATTATCATCATCATCACCATCACTATCTTCATCATCACTATTGTCACCACCATCATCATGATCATCACCATTATTATCATTAATATCATCATCACAACTCTTTGCTGATTAACTTCAGAGCAGAAGAAGGAATGTTAATGGTTAATACCATTGCCAGCACCCCAAAATAACAACTCTGCATTCCTACATTTGATGTCCACAGGCCATCGATTTCTTCCAATGTAGCCTGCCAGTCAACAACTCCTACACACTCAAACTCCCAAATTCTACCTATGATTACTAACAAAAATTATTTTGCCCATTCATTAATTATTTTAGAGGCAATCCAACATACTGTTTAGGCACACAAAGCCTGGAGTCAAAGTGCTTGGGTTTAAAAATCTGGCTTTGCCACTTAATGATTGTGTGGACTTGAGAAAGTTATTTAATCTCTTTGTGCCTCAGTTTCCTCCTTGGTAAAATAGGGGAATCAGAACTGCTGTACAACAGCAGAGAAAACACACACTTGCTACTTAGAAGATGTCCCCTGGCCAGGCACAGTGGCTCATGCCTGTAATCCCAGCACTTCGGGAGGCCGAGGCACGTGGATCACATGAGGTCAGGAGTTCAAGACCATCCAGCCTCATCAACATGGTGAAACCCTATCTCAACTAAAAATACAAAAATTAGCCAGATGTGCTGGCATGCACCTGTAATCCCAGCTACTTGGGAGAATGAGGCAGGAGAATCACTTGAACCCAGGAGGCAGAGGTTGCAGTGAGCTGAGATCATGCCACTGCACTCCAGCATGGGCAACAGAGTGAGATTCCAACTCAAAAAAAAAAAAGAAGAAGAAGAAGATATCCCCCCTATATCCTCCATTCTTAAATTTGATCCAATGACCAAAACACACAAGACATAGAAGAAAAAACAGTAACATGGAAGATAAACGAGGCTGAGACAAAATGACACCTGAAGAAAGAGAAATAAGAGCAGACAGGACAGGTCTATCTCATTGTTCAGGACTCAGCACAAATTGCCCCCCCTCAACCCCAGACTTCTCCCTTCCACATAACCCCCAACCACATTCTAGATAACTTCTTTTATAACATTTATCACTACCTGGAATTCCATCATTTACTTATTATTTGGGGCAACATAGTGCAGTAAAAAGGCTTACAAACTCTGAAATCAGACTGCCTGGGTTGAAATCCTGGCTCTACATCTTATTGACTAAGTTGTCTTGGGAAAATTATTTTATCTCGTTTGCCTCAGTTTTCTTCTTTGCAAAATAGAACTAATAATGACCCAATGTCATAGAAATGTTGTGACAATTGGATATGTTCTATGTTTAAAGAAGTTACAACAGTGTTAAGTGGGCTATGACCGTCTGTCCCTCTTTCCTGTCTTCTCTTACCCACAAGAATATCAACCTCAAGAGTGCAGGAACGTAGTCTTTTTTTTTCCTCACTGTTGTAACTTCTAGTGCCTAGAACAGCACTTGATACACAGGATGTGCTCAGGAAACACAGATCAAATGAATATGAAGAAAAGCTGTCCTGAAAGATGGACTTCCCTGAGCTATGGAGTTTTGTCAAAGGTTCCCCAAATAAGGGTGTTTGCAGCAACCAGCCTAGACTTATCATCTCTTTCTTGGCTGGACCATTCATGGCTCTCCCTTTTCTCGGAAGCCTATTTCCAACCCAGGCCTCCCTAGCCCCTCATTCAGCCTCACACTCACCCCAGAAGAGGAGCAGCTTGAAGCCACGCATTATGCTGTGGTTCTGTCATTCAAAGAGAAGGAGCTTTTCTACTGACCATGGGTTTTCAGTAACAGGAGGTGTAGGAAGAGGGGAAGGCGGGGCCAGAGTTGTTCAATTCTGCCCTGCCATCAGAGCCCTTTGTGCTGAGTTACTGCCACTAAAAGACAGCCTAGAAAATCCTAATTTCCCCGTTTCTCCACAATAAAGAGAAGTTAATCTGCCTAACATATACTATTCTCTCCCTCTCCTTCCCACTCTCTCTCTTTCCCACCAGTCTATCTCCCAGTTCTCAACACCTTCTTTCATTGCACCCAATAAACAAGCTTCCATCTCCTGCCTCCAGTGAAGCAAATCTCAGCCTTTAGGGTCTCTTTCCAGTCTCCCCTTATAAAAACAGCCATCACAATCACAGGTACCAGGCACTGTGCTAGTCACACTGCCAACATAATGCAATTTCATTGTCATGTCAACCTCGTAAAGTAGGAATTCCCCTCCCTCTCTCCCTTCACCAACAAAATGGAAACTTAGGCTTGCAGAGGACTTGTCACTTGTCCAAGATCTCTCAGACCTGATATTGGAACCCAGGACCCTCTGACTCCAAAGTCTAAAGTGTTCATCATCTTATTTTCCTTCAGATCGCCACTCTATCTGACCCCTCTACAGCAACACTCCACCCTATTCCCAGCTTCCTAGCTCTCTCTGATAACTGGTAACATCTCAGGGCCCCAAAAGTGCAGACCCTTAGACAGGGATTCTAGCAAAAGTAGTTTATTAAGAAGGTGACCCCAGAATACACCAGCTGGGGAGGGAGAAAGTGAAACAGGAAAGCAAAGAGCCAATACTGGGTGTGTCTTCAAACAAGTTACATGGTGAGAAAGTGGAGCTTAACCTCCCAGGGGACATCTGGGGAGCAGGAGCAGCATGGAACATACTCTTCAGAGTTATTCCAACTGAGGGGTAAGGGAGCTGAGGTATTTATACCCCACCTACTGTCAGTCATTAGTTGACTGGTGGCTTGTTCCCAGGGGGCGTCAACCACTTGAAACTTCAGGCCTGGCCTCCAAGCAGATAGAATGGGCTCCAGTTTGTATAATCCCACTGATAACAAAACGTAGTGATTGGCAGATGTTGAAGTGGTATCATTCAGCTGGGGTAATACCCAAGGTTCATTGCCTCGTGGCAAGGAAATAAAAAATGCAGACATACAAGGAATAAGTTTTAGAGCAGAGGTTTAAGACAGGCGCAGTGGCTCATGCCTGTAATCCCAGTACTTTGGGAGGCCAAGATGGGTGGATCGCCTGAGATCAGGAGTTTGAGACCAGCCTGGCCAACATGGTGAAACCCCATCTCTACTAAAAAAATAAAAATTAGCTGGGTGTGGTGGCAGGTGCCTGTAACTCCAGGTACGTGGGAGGCTGAGGCAGAAGAATCGCTTGAACCTGGGAAGCAGAGGTTGCACTGAGCTGAGATCATGCCACTGCACTCCAGCCTGAGCAACAGAGTGAGACTCCATTTCAGAAAAAAAAAAAAAAAAGAGCAGATAGGCAACAAGAGCTCTCTCCCTGGCAGAGAGAGAGGGCTTCCAAATGGACCTCCCAGTTCCATGGTGAAATGCATGGGGTTTTATAGATGAGCTTGAGGTGGTGGTATCTGATTTACATAAGGCCCAATGATTGGTTGGACCAGGTGTGCCATTTTGCAAAGAACCTGGCCGCCTGCTCTAATATTTTATTATGCAGATGGAGTCTCTACCTGGCCAGGACCATGTTGCCTGTTCCTTTACTGCACACGTGGTTGACAAAGAAAAGGGAAGATGGAGCCTCCATGTTGAACATGGCCGGCTCCCAGTACCCTTTTCCTATTGGCATAGCTGCCGGCGTTCACCCGCGCAAGCTTCCGGCTTGTTTTTCTACATCTGCAGCCTGACTTTTCAGGCTGCACTTTGCTAGAAAAAAAATGATTTGGGAGCAGCTTCTTATTAAAAGGGCAACCTTACCGAGGACCCTCTGCCCTCATTCTCTGCCTAAATAATTTCTTCCTGGCTCCTGTATCAGTGTCAAGCTAGGGCATATAAATGTGTTAAGTTAGGTCATGGGTGTGGGCAGCCACTGATAGCATCTGCTACAAGCTACAAAGGAGGTTCAAAGAGCATCCCCAAGTTCTTAGAAAAGTTCTACATGTTTTTGCCTTCCCCTTTTCTTCTTTGCAAACTACCAACTTTGGAGTTATTGTCACTGAAAAAAAGATTCAGGTGGCTCACTCCTATAATCCCAGCACGTTGAGAGGCTGAGGCGGGCAGATCACCTGAGGTCGTGAGTTCAAGACCAGCCTGACCAACATGGAGAAACCCCATCTCTACTAAAAATACAAAATTAGCCGGGCATGGTGGCACATGCCTGTAATCCCAGCTACTAGGGAGGCTGAGGCAAAAGAATTGCTTGAACCCAGGAGGTGGAGGTTGCGGTGAGCCAAGATTGTGCTACTGAACTCCACCCTGGGCAACAAGAGTGAAACTCTGTCTAAAAAAAAAAATTCACGAATGTTTTTCTTTTTCTTTTTTCTTTTCTTTTTTTTTTTTGAGACAGAGTTTCGCTCTTGTTACCCAGGCTGGAGTGCAATGGCACGATCTCGGCTCACCGCAACCTCCGCCTCCTGGGTTCAGGCAATTCTCCTGCCTCAGCCTCCTGAGTAGCTGGGATTACAGGCACGCGCCACCATGCCCAGCTAATGTTTTGTATTTTTACCAGAGACGGGGTTTCACCATGTTGACCAGGATGGTCTCGATCTCTTGACCTCGTGATCCACCCGCCTCACGCCTGTAATCCCAGCACTGTGGGAGGCCGAGGCGGGTGGATCACGAGGTCAAGAAATCGAGACCATCCT